CACAGAAGATGGAAAGAGAGACATTCAAGAGTGGCTGGGGATAGGATTTAAGAGGAGAATGCTGGGCAGATAGTAGGGATGGGTGGGAAAGAAAGCAAGCAATGAGTTACAGCTGCCCAGTCTGTCCCACCTCAGAGCACCTTAGAGTACAGCAATCTTCACCGATGAGAGCCTGCCAAGCATGGTTACATTTCAGAGGAGGCATGGGACAAATCTGCTGAGAGCCTCAGTGTTACACAGTAGTGATCACTGAGCTGGGCAGTGCCAAGACAGCCTTGAGTTGTGCAAGACAGTAAGGAATGAATGTAGATATGGTCTCCAGACATCCCGAATTAATCATATCCAACAAGTCTGACTCTAGAGAGTTAACCTAGAAATACAACTTTACTGAAGGCTGGGGTTAAGAGATGTTCCTTCATTGGAGTAGCAAGAAATGAAAGGACTTCAGGAATGTAATTTAAAGGAACAGACTGAGGAAAATCAAGGAAAACAACCAAAGGAGTAGGGCTTCTCTGAGTCAATCTGCATGTGAACTTTTAAAGGAATAAACTAGATGTCCTTTTAAAGATCTGCTGTAGAGATCAGTCTTCCTAACAAAGGAATCCAAGTCTCACCTCCTCCAGGACTTCTGGCCAGACAGGATCCTCATCACTGCCTTTGTGAAGTTATAAAAACAATCTAATCACTGACGAGCTAAAAGCTTTATGAACTGTAAAATATTATAAAGACTCCCTTGATATAATGTGGTAAAGGCATTCTAACTGGAAATTCCACTTAGAAGTATATAAGCGCTTAAGACAGGACCTTCAAACTTCCACACCTTTCTATCAGGCACAGTGGTATGTATTTCAGAGGTATTTTTAAAATGTTTGCAGAAGACTATCTGGCAGTAACGTGAGAATGTATGCACAGGGAGAAGGAGTACATGAAAAAAGGCATACCCAACTTCCTAAATGGATTCACAACTGAAATAATCAAATGTTATTCTCCCACCAAGGTGACCAAAGGTAAGTAGACAGCCAACGATGCCTCAGAGCTCCAGCTTCTCCTCTGACACATGTTTTCTTCTGAGTGCCTTAGAAAAATGGGAGAAGGAATCTGTAAAAAAAACAATGAACTGTAGAAGAGGGAAACAGCCAACAGCAACTTTTATAGAACTGCTCAGCAACCATTGGTCATTAAAGAACAGCTCCTTAACTTCTCAAGTTGAAACCTGCAAAATGTAAATCAGGCCTTTGTGAGACAAACTAAAATAGTGTCCCCTCAGGGTGCACAAATACCACAGTGAAGTCACCAGAGTGAGCTACTCCCTGACAAAGTCAGAGCCTACCTTGCAAAGATTTTCTAGGGCAAGAGAAAAATTTGCTGTTTGTTTCATTTTAAATACTAAAACATACTCATCTGAGAGCCAAACAAGGAAATGCAATCACCTTTTTTTATCAATTAATTATTCTGATTTATTCTCTCTCTCTCTCTCTCTCTCTTTCTCTCTCTCACACACACACACACACACACACACACACACACACAGAGTGAGTCAGTCATATACAGATTAAAGAGTTTCATACAACCACTGCCCATCCCTGAAGCTTTTGAGGTGCTTGGATACTAACCTGGTTGCAAACTCTGACAGAGTTGCTTATATAAACACTGTTTCTTAAGCTAATTGTTTTAAGAATGAGGAAAAGCTACCTTTTTGCAAGATCAAGATCCTGTCTGCCAAGTTTCCATCCACAATGATTATCAAATTAATTAAAGGGGCTACTTAAGAAAATGAAAATCCTCGGTTTCAACATTACTTTCAACTACTCCCTGGATACTGATGAAATTTATTACTTATTATCAGACATAAAAGCTCAACTTTGACAGCAACTAAATAATCTGCACAAATGTTAGGGGAGAAGAGCTAAAAGTTGAAAGCGAAATAGGACTTTTCAGGAAAGGGTGCCTGGGTGAGATTTCTGTCCACAATAGGCACAAAGTACAGTTGTGGTTCCCAAAGCAACTTTAACTCTTCCTGTCCAAAGATGTACTGTGCCCTGTGCCCTGAATTACTGTACATGGACATTTAGAAATGGCAGCTATCAGAAGCCATACTGATTTCCTTGGCTTTTTTACAGCAAGTGATGACAGTCGTTACAACAATCTAATTTGTACCTGCCATATATTAAAATATGATTCAGCCTCCCAAAACATGTACCAGTTAAAATGATCATGCAATCTGATATGTGAACATTTCTGAAGGGTTACTTAAAAACCAGCCAACGGTGGTCTCTAGGGCATGGAGCTTAGCAACTAGAAACAAACTTAGCTGTCATTACATTTATTGTTTAAATACACCATGTTATGCTTCACCTATGTTTCTTGTATCTATTTGTGTGATATTTTTAAGGTTTACCATGTGTAAAGTTCAACATCAAAAAGGAAGGCTAGAAAAGCAGTGGCCAGGCCTGTTCTTTCACACTGCTCATTTCAAGTTTCACATGCTCTGGAAGGGCAAGGCACAATATGCATCACTTGTTTAAGGGTATGTGAAATTTGAACTGGATGGGAAATTTAATGGATGCACAAAACAGTCATGGTACTTGACTCCATGGGAAATAGTTAGCTACAGCTCATGGAGTAACTGGAGTCACAGAGTGCCTGAATATCAAACACACACTAATAAATCAATCCTTGCCTACTTGCTCTAAGTTGATCATGACATTCATGCATCCAAAATATCCTAGTCACTAAAAATAAAGAGGGGGGCCAGGCGTGGTGGTGCACACCTTTAATCCCAGCACTTGGGAGGCAGAGGAAGGCGGCCAGCTGGGACTACAGGAAGACCCTGTCCCCAAAAAAAACAACAACAAAAAAGAGGGGGTATAGAATCATCAACCTCATAGCACACAAATCTCCCTCTCTCATCCCACCTACTCCACTGCACACAACTTCCTTCAGGACATCATTTCTAACCCAAGAACAAGTACAGTAAGTTCCAATCAAGTTTTCATCAACTGTCCAACTAAAGAGTGTAAAGCACGGTGTTTTTACAGTAACAATACTGGTACAAAAATGTTTTGACTATCTTTTTCTTAAGAGCGCTAAACCTGCAGTTTTATGAGTGTCATTTAGCAAACAACTGAAGAATTTTTCAGCAAAAACAAGTCCAAGCATATTTTTTTTTAAAAAAGTTATGTTACATGTTACAGCACTAATGAGGTGAACTCCAAAATCTCTTTGACCTTGTATTACCATGACCCAAAGTTAACACACTGAGTTCCCAAGCACTCTCCAGCCCTACCACAGTCTTCCAACAGAGAATTAAGGAGAGGAGTAATCTATCTACCTCTGCAATCACCTGAAATAAACCTTAGCTCCTGATGTCTCCAATATTGTTCAGAACTTTTCAAGTGAATCTCAAACACTTGGATAACATCAAGGCCTTGTCTTTTCTTGGAAATGTTTTGCATTTGAAAATGAAATTAAGCAAGACTTCAAGAAGATTCAGAATTAAACACAGAAAACTTGAACAAGTCAAAATGTAAACAAAAATAACTAGATATAAAATACAAAACTAATTTTGGACGACTTACAAAATACAATACTTAGAAATAGTTCAAGTACTCCCAGGAGATCTTGGAAAACCTGAGCATCTCCCACTCCTTAGAAAAACACCTATCCTGAGACAGTACCACTATACCTCTCTATATTTCTATACTTCTTTGAAAACCTAACTCGTTAGTTTCTTTCTTTCCTGAAAAGCAGGTGCCTCAGTTTCATTTTATAAATGTATTCCCCCAAAGTTTCATCTGCCCAGTGACTCATCTACGGAAAAAAAAAAAAAAAAAAAAAAAAAAAAAAAAGGTATTTAAGTCTTGTTCTCTGAAATCTTAATACTTACGATGTTTGGTGTGCCAGAAAACAGAAAGAAAACTACAAGCGTATGATCCAAAGAACTGTTGCTTCAAAAATGTCCTTTCAAACATCCCAAATAATGTTACTAGCGCTACAGAATGCCCATGCATTGGCAGAACAGCTTGGGGCAATCTATCCTTTCTGGAAGATCATTAGTACTGGTAAAATCAAGCACTCCGATGCAAAGGGGAAGGAAGATCTACAAATCAGTATCAGTTTCTCACATCTACATTACACTGTTGAACATAATGAAACTTTCTGCTTCTTTGTATGTCTCAATAATAAAGAAAACTTGCCTAGACCAAGCAGGATTTTTGATCCGTTCAGATCATCACATCCTTTATTATCCTGAGATTCCATGGTTTCCTAGGCATCTCTCTCCTGATTTCTAAAAGGTGCATGCTTCCACACTTGCTTTGAACCAAGAGGGAAGGCAGCGAGGAGACCCTTTCTACACAGGCCAAGATTGGTCCCCGCAATTACAGTGAGTACAGACGCTTGCTTTTGTATTCTCTCCACCAGAATTAGCAGTGAAACAGCTTTGTGGCTCTTAATTAAGGCTGAACAGCTCTAAAGAACAATAACTTTAAAAGTGGACTTCTATTTTAATTATACACAGGCAATGCCGGCAGTAAAAGCATTTGCTTCCCTGAACCTCACTACCAGCCTGGACAGACAGCTAAAACATTTTAAAGGCAACCGTGTTCAGGGTGGACCTTCTAGCCTCTGACCCAAGCACGCCTTGCGATGGTCCTGCTATGAAAGAGAAGGGCCAGATCCGTGCTGCTCATTAAGGCTTTAGGGAAAAAAAAAGGGGGGGGGTCAAAATCCTACTGCTGAAAATGCGAATAATCATGGGAACAAGAATCCTGTTAGGATAGAAAGGAGAGGAGAGTAAGCGTGGGGCATGTTGGCCCTCACCGGATGTTAAAAGCGAGATGAATTTTAGAAGTTAGAGAAAGGAATTTCTGTGTGTGGCCTACGCTAGAGAGGAGCCCTCCAGCACGCGGCTCAACCCCAGGCTAGACCAGCGGCTAGAGACAGCCCGGGCGCAGGGCGCTGAGCGATCAGTCGTGGGGAGCAGGGCTGTCACCGCTTACCCAGGTGCAGCGTGAGGTTGATGGAGTTGGGGTACTGCACCCCGGCCAGCATGGTCTGGCTCTGCCACCAGGTGGTGTCGGCCTGGTTATTGTAGTCGGTCAGGAAGGCTGCCCCGTGCTGCAGGTGGGGCTGCCCGGCGTCGCACAGGTGACAGGACTTGGTGACCCCGGTCACCCCGGTCTGCACACAGTACTCCTCGGGCGGAGTCCCACACGTGTTGGTGGCCACCACGGTCACGTTGAAGGCGGCGTTGACGAACTCGGGCATGCAGCGCTGCGGCCGGCCGCCCTCGTCCGCGCATTCGTCCATGGCCGCCCGGGCACAGCCCGCCGCGGCGGCCGCCAGCACGACCAGCAGCGGCCACAGCCGTCCCCGGGGCCGCAGGGCCAGCCGTGCTCCGAGGCCGCCCGGCTCAGCTGGGGCCCGAGGCTGGGCGCTAGCGCGGACAGCCGGCGGTGGGCGCCCCTAGTGAGGACCGCGCTGCAGACCCGAGCCGCGCCGCCTCCGCCTCCTGCTCCCTCCCGGCGCGCAGCCCGCACTCCACCGACCCCCGACTTCCGAGCGCGCACCCGAGAGCGCGCCCCGGGAGGAAGGAGCAGGGGGTGGGGTCGGCCGGCTGGGGTGGGGTCTGACGGGGGAGCAAGCCCAAGCCCGGCCTCCTCTGCTCGCGCGGACCCGGAGCTGCTCCCAGCCCTCGGCGCCGGGCTGCGCGTTCGCTCTGAAGACTCGCGGCGCTTCTTTCACTCGCGACCCACAGGGCGGTGGGCTGGAGGGAGGGGTGCGAGGTGGGCGGGGCGGGGCCGAGGGAGGGGGAGAGGTGGGCGAAGCGGAGGGCAGGAGGGAGGGGCAAGAGATGGGCGGGGCGGTGGGCTAGAGGGAGGGGCGAGAGGTGGACGGGGCGGGGCAGGAGGGAGGGGCGCGCGGTGGGCGGGGCAGGGCAAGAGGGAGGGGCACGAGGTGCCGGGGCGCAGGGCCAAGGGGTACGAGGTGGGCGTGGCAATGGGTAGAAAGGAGGGGTGTGAGGTGGACGTGGTGAAGGAATTGGAGGGAGGGGTGAGAGATGAGCTGGGCCGGGAGCAGGGGCGAAGGAGGGTGGGGCACGGGTCGGTGCATGCCGGGAGGAGCTTCCCGGGAGACCCGGCACGAATCCTACGCTCGGGACCTGGGCCTCTGCGTCCAGGGGAGGATGTGGTCTGGGGCATGCATAAGAGGAGGCCCTCAAGGGGCGACACGGGTCAGTTCGGAGCGGTCTTTGGGCCTCACGGCGTCGTGGACCCGAGTCCCTGCCCAGCCACGTCCCGCCCGGACGCTACCCTGGGGCCAGGACCAAAGCGACCCCACCGCAGTGGGACTGCCTGAATGATCTCGTCCTCACCAATAGGGATTCCCCAGCTGCTAATCCCAGCCCCCATCCCGCCGTGGAGATCCGGGTGTGATCCAGGGGCTGACAGGGTCCCTGCAGATGCAGCATCAGAGGGAATGCGGTGATTTCCTTTAAGTAAGTGGAACCTGTCGTTTAGCCCGGGCAAGGAAGGAAGTGAGATGGCTGGGAATGGAATGACATTTTCTCCTGGGTACGCAGACCCACTGCGGAATTCTTCCTGTGTGCTGTTTGTGTTCCCCAGCTTGCCTTTAAAAGACTCGAAATTATCTGGATTTGACATCCTCCTTTCGGGCCTGCTGAGTCACGGAATATTCTCAGTGCCAAAATGACTCAGTTCACAGGACTCAAGCCAGAAGATCATGAGTTTTAGTCCCAGATCAGTCTGGACACTTACCCAGTGCTGATAGGACAAGCAGACAGGGGCGAGAAGAGCACAGTAAAAGTGGAGCAGGGTGTGGAGGCACACGCCTATAATCCCAACCCTAGGGGCAAAGCGGATGCACAAAGTGAATTCTCCAGAGGCATTTTTTTTTAAATTTTTGCAGGACCTTAATGATACCGTGAGAATAACAATAAACACGATTTTAAATTCAGTAGTTCCATTAAGATCGAGGTAGTGAGGCGGGAAAGATGGCTCAGCCGGTAAAGCCACCTGCTTGCTGTCAAGCCTGAGGACCCACCTTTTCTCTCCAGGACCCCCATGGAGGAGGAGAGGACAGACTTCCAGAAGTTGTCCTCCTACCACCACACTGTAGTGATGGCTCTTGCACACATAAACAAACATGTTTTTTCTTTTTTTTTTTTTTTTTTTTTGAGAGGTAGTGAGCATCTGAAACAGGTGTTTAGGGTCAGTGTTAGCCCTGCAAGTCCTAATTAGGAGGAACTTAAGGATAATGGGCTACTTGTGAGGCCACCGTTCAGGAGTCTTCTAATGCTAAGCCTACTTGGGAATGCATTCACCATATATTGTTGATTTATTCATGAGATGGTTGGAGATTATTCGTGTTCAAGGTCTCTGACTCCTCACTCCACAACTCTGGGAAAAGAAAGTTGGGGATCATAATAATGTCTTCACTTAGGTGTGAGTTGAAGCAAAGTCAGTATACTCACCTATACCCAAAGAGGATGTCTCAGTTCATTGAACTCAATGTTTTTCCTTTCATTGCTCTCTGTTTTTATTTGCTTTGGGGGTTTTGTTTTGTTTCTGTTGGGGTTTTTTTGGTTTGTTTGTTGTTTGAGACAGAGTCTCCTTGTAGCCCCAGCTGGCCTGGAACTCCCTACATAGACCAAGCTGGCCTCCATCTCACAGAGATCCACCTGCCTCTGCCTCCCGAGTGTTGAGATTAAAGGCATTGGCCACCACGACCCAGTTCATTGCTCTCTTTCAGGTTCTCATGTTCAAAATTAACTTCAAGCTATAACTTATGCTTTATTTACTCCATAAATCACCTCATCTGTCATTTATGAAGCACATAAGAAGATCTTGAGTTTTAACCTCTAAATTCTATTGCTCAAGGGAATGTGTTACATTGACAAGGAAGCACTGATTTTGGAAAAGAGATAAATTATATCCAGCCAATATGCTTAGTGATAAAAATACTGATAAAAGTGTTCATTTATCTAGATTTTTGAGGTGGAGGGAAGTGGGTTGAGACAAAGAATCACTCTGTAGTCCTGGCTAGCCTGGAACCTGCATCTGTCCCCCTGCCTCAGCCTCCCCAGTGCTGAGACTGTAGAATGAGCCACCCTACCTTTGTCATTATGTGAATGTTGATTCAAATAAACCAAAGACTTTGTTAACATAGTTTTAAAGACAGTTCGTGAAATCTGAACAGTAGATATTAGATGATAGCAAAGTATTTTGTTTCAGAAGATGTCACAGTTAACTAACTAGACTTGGTTTTTAACAACAAGAATACATATGTGTGATGGTACATGTGATCCCAACACTCAGGAGGCTGAAGCAGGAGAATCTTGAGTTCCAGGCCAGGCTGAGCTACACCTGTCTCCCTCACCCTGAAAAAAAAAAAAAATGGTGAAGGTGTATGAGATTAATTGCAAGTTGTTGGACTGTTTTGCTTTGTTTTCATTTGCTTTGTTTGTTTTCAAGAAATTCCAGAGCCTTGTCCTTTTAAATACATGTTCTTAACTACCTGAAAACTCCATTATCCAATAAACAGACATGATGTTTAGAAGAAAAATATGAAGAAAAAACAGGTTCAGGCTCCTGAGAAGATGACCTTAGTGTCCAGTTACCAGTGTCTCAATACAGCAACACAGGTGAGATTAAGGGATGTGGCTGTGCAGACAAAATACCCCCAAAGAGCCTTTAACTCCCAGTTAGAACTCCAAGCTTTATAACTATCAATGTGCTTGCTTTTCCATTTCTTAGTTTCTCCTGACCTCATGTCCCTGCATTCTTCCCATACCTAAGAACCTCTGCACTATATGCTTTGCCCTTTGTATTTAGAAATGCCACGTGTAAGTAAAAAATTACTATTAAGTTAGCCGGGCGTGGTGGCGCACGCCTTTAATCCCAGCACTCGGGAGGCAGAGGCAGGCGGATCTCTGTGAGTTCAAGGCCAGCCTGGTCTACATAGTGAGCTCCAGGACAGCTGGGGCTACAGGGAGACCCTGTCTCAAAAAGACAAAAAAAAAAATTACTATTAATATAATAATGTTGGCCTATATTTACATACTATTTTCACTTTTCAAATGTATTCTGAAGCAAAGGATGCTATTGCCTATGTAGAACTGAAAAAAGTAAATCATAAAGAGATTAAATAACTTCAGATGAGTAGGAAGCAAAGCCAGGACAAGAGTCTGTCCCTTCTGGCTCTTCACTCTTCATGAAGGACGGCTTCTTTTTCTGTTGTGTAAAGGTCATGATAGGAAAGAGGGTAAAGGAAGCATTATCTTACATGTCCAAGGTTTTTAGGTTATCAAATAGGAGTTTAAAATTAGGTGAAAATTGATGTGATACTGAAAGAAACTTACAATATCCCTCTTCAAAGTTTCAGTAAGTACACATAATATTTTGTGTTAGGCTTAGAGATCCTGCCTGCATCCTTGGTACAAGTCCAAGCATAACAAGATAAGATATCTTGTCTGGCTGAGCTCAGGTAAAGTAGAAGATTCCTCTTGCATGAGGTAAAGTTTTTCAATACCACCCAGCCCGTTGCACCAAATTCAAGCCATCTTAAATTGAGATTCTAGTTTTTAAAAAGAGAAAATAAAAGATCACAAATCAGTTCACAGATTTAAAACAGAACTTTATTTGTTAAAATATACAAGTACAACAAAAAGTGTTCTCAAAACCAGTAGCAAGACCCATCCTCACTTCAACCGAAAAGCTTCCCATCAAGAGAACAGAGAACTTTAGCTCTCAAAAATTTATTATTCTATTAACAAGATGTGAACTGCATTCTATAATAGGAAGAAACGAGAGACTCTTTTAGGTTCAGATGACATGATTTTATTGTGGGACTTTAGAATATCTTTAACACATTGTGAGGCCTGATGGTTTAACAAAGTAATAAAGCACATGTCTGTAGTCTCAGCTCTTGGGAGACTGAAGTAAGAGGATCACTCCAAGTTGAAGCCAGCGTTGGCAACAGAATGGGTTCCAGGTCAGCTTAAGCCAGGGTGAGACCCCTGCTGGGAAAGGAAGGGAAGGGGAGAGGAAGGGAAGGGAGGACATATCTATAGTTTCAGCGCTTGGAAGGTAGAAGCAAGAGGATCAGGAATCCAAAATTATTGTTGGCTATATAGGGAGGCCAAAGCCAGCCTGGGCTACATAAGACCCAAAAAACTAGGGACGGTCAGCAAAATGGCTCAGTAGGTAAAATAGTTGGCCAAACAAGTCTGACAACCTGAGTTTGAACCCCATAATCCATAGTAAAAGGAAAGAATCAACTCCCAAAAGTTGTAGCATTCATACACACATGATGTGTGTTCATATCACAAATACTTTTTGAAAAACTAAAAGGGAGGAGGTGGAGAGATGGCTCAGCGGTTAAGAGTACTTGCTGGGGACTCAGGTTTGGATCCCAGCACCCACATGGCGGCTAATACCCATCCTTAACTCCAATTCCAGGTGATCTAATGCCCTCCCTGGCCTCCCTGGGCACCAGGCATGCATGTGGTACACTTACATAGATGCAGGGAAGACATTCATACACATAAAATAAATAAAAATCTTTTTAAAAGCCAGGCGTGGTGGTGCACGCCTTTAATCCCAGCACTCAGGAGGCAGAGGCAGGCCCATCTCTGTGAGTTCAAGGCTAGCCTGGTCTACATAGTGAGTTCCAGGACAGCTGGGGCTACAGGGAAACCCTTTCTCAAAAAAAAAAAAAAAAAAAAAAAAAT